ACAGGAATCAGTTAAAATATTGAAACCAGATTTAAATCTTGCTATGGTTTTGTTATTTTAAGTTGTAAAGGTTAGGGCTGTGGATACTGGGCTGGGTAGATCAGCAAGTAGAGCATCTGCACTTGTGATATAGGGGTCTAGGGTTCAATTCCTGGTCCAACCATACATTTTCTCCTTTGGTTGCATGATTGATTACCCATGGCCTTGCAGGTGAAAGTCCTGCCATGGGCGAAAATGAATTTTATAGGATGTCTTTAACGACAAAGACAATATCAGGATTGAGGGAGGAATATTATATATTAATTTGTTTGGATTGAGGATTAAATATTGGCCTGCCCTAGTAACTCAGTCACTAGAGCTCCTGACTAATAATTTAAATTAAGGTTTCAGGTAAGATTCCTGATCGAGCAATACATGTTTCTCTTTCCTGTTACACAGTATTCCCAATGTACAACCAGTGTCTTTGTAACATGCGGTTAATAGAGAAATGTGACAAGTATACATTCTAGATGCTGTACAATAACCTTTAGCACTATAAGCTTCAGTATAAATAACAACAGGACATGAATCTGAGGTCTGTGTTCATGTAAACAGCATCTAGGAGCGGATTACATGATCAATCAAGTCTGATGCATGGATGATGCAGACAGACTGCATGTATGTTAACATGATTAATCATTACTTCAAACCCTTTATTACCGTCAGTACTGGGGTATGGGGACTCTGTGGCCCCATCCTCCATTCCACTCAGCAGCTCTTCTTTTCCAACATCACTGTCCCCTACTAGCAGAAACTTAAGCAAGTAGTCATAAGGCTTTAGTGATCCGATCCCGTTTTGCAAAGAGCACATTATCACAACATTGTTTTCTAGTTCTACAACTTTTACGGCTAACGAAAAGAAATTCCAAGTCTACATTGTAAGAGTCTGCAAATATATGTATCTTCTGGAGCTACATACTGCAAATTTATCACATATGTGGTGAAAATTACGTTAATAACATGTAAACATAGATCACATCAATATTTTGCGCAGACCGGAAGTCTCAATGCGCCTGTGCTCAAAGTGAAAGGAAGTTGGCGGGCTTTTTGACTACTTTCACTTTGATCAAAATCAGAAGTGCGAAGAACATTTTCTCAATAACAGCCATGGAAGAAGATCAAGAAAACGTAAATTGATCAAATTATATATATTTCTATTTGAATACAAGACTCTAAGATGTAGAAGATAAAAATATTGATAATAATTCCAAGTTCTTATTGAAAATTATGGGCATATATGTTTCAATGTTGTCTGACAGTTGAGTTAGGTATGAGAATGTAGGTCTTTGACTCTTTTAGACATTGTATTTGATAGAAAAAGATATTCTTATCTTGTTCTTATGAGTTCGTGTAAGTAATTTTATGCAAGTAGATTCTACTCAACAATCATGACAATAGCTAGATTAATTCTGCCCGGTGCTGTCTCATCTTGATTGATGTACTTTTAGCATGTTCATTTATGATATAGAGTAACATTATCATTTGATATTTCGTCAGAATTTTTTTCTTTATATTTAGATGCTTAAAAGACTAGCACAGATGAAGAAAGAATATGCCAGAAAACAAAAGAAACTTGAAGTGAGTTGAATATATAATTTTCCTCAATTATGATCTGCCCTGTTAAAAGTTATATCCATAATTATATGCAAATTTAGCTTTCAATGACCTTTTCCCATTAACAGTTTGTTGACTGTACAGTTGAACTTCCATGATGAACTCAAAATAATCAAGATTGAAGATCATGCATATTGGAACATTTATTTACTTGAAAAAACAATATTTCAGAAATCTGTTCGAAAGTCTAAAGCCAAGGCACATGTTAAACAGATACTACAAAAACAAGAGATTCTACGTAGCAAAGAGACGGACCAGGAAGATTTCAAAAATCAAATAAAGGAGCCAGAAAGAATCGCTACCCCAAATGATCAGGACAGTACCTCAAAGAGCGTAACCAGCTCGAAAACAAACATAGAATCACCCCCAAGAACAAATATTAAATCAACAAAGAGCAGTGCTAGTGATGGAAAACTATCCATCAAAACATCAGTTTTATCAGAAAATTCAGACAAAGGTGATTTCATGACATGTGATAGCAAGGCCTCAAAAAGAAGTGGGGAAGATGATGTAATTGTTGGACCCTGTGGAGACTCAGAACAAAGTGCTTCCACAAGAAATCTTCCCTCATCTTCAGAATCAACAGGAAGTGGAAAAAAAACTTTGTCTCTTAAAGCAAGGCGAAGAAAAACTTTGAGTCCAAACACATTTTCTAGCAACAAAAGTAAGCTACAAGTGGAAGGGATACTTCCATCAGAAGGAATCATCAAATGTATTAATATTCCTGATGATGATGATGATGAAGACATGGTTAAAAACAAAGATACTGATGCCAGGGAAAAGCAGATGGACAGTTTGGAAATAAACAAGCTTTCCAATGGCACCAAGTTAGCCGAAAAGCTCAAACCATCTGAGAGTGAATCATCTTTGGATCTATTTCCCTCATCCTTTGATGGCTGTGAAAAAATCAAAACTAAAAGAAAACGAGGAAGACCTGCTAAAGGTCGAAGAGCTTCACTCCCTGCTCAGACCAAGACGTCGATACTTCCTGTCAGTATCAGGAATTCCTCTGAATCCCAGGAGAGCCAGGAATTAGAAACTCTAATGTTGGTCCAGGAAAGTTTAGGATTGTGTAGTCCTATAGAGAAGAGGAAGACAAGACGTTCTCGGTCCTGTCAACCCATTCTTCTGTCGTCCGTTTTCCAGTTCATTATTGATGATGCCAAGAGAGAGCAAAAGGATAAGGATTTTGTATTGCCAACACACACATTTGGAGATCTTATGGAAGCAAAAGTTTTAGATAGATTAAGTGATGGAGCAGTACTTTCCTCTGTTGATGATCAGGAAGGTAAAATGATTACAAAGGTAGACCAGGACAAAGAAATTTCTATAAAAGAAGAAATGCTGCATGATACAGAACAAACACCATCTTCTGTTTTAGTAGATTCTAAGCAAACTTTAATTGAAACTAGTGAAGACCAAGGAAAAGGAGACACTTTGTCGCAAAGGACAGAGCAACAAGATGTTAAAGTTCTTAGTGAAAAAGCATCTTTAGGTGATCATTTTGAGGAATCAAAATCTTCTCCAAACAGCAGAGAGGAACATCATTCAAACTTAAATGGCATTACAGAGGTAGTCCTCAAGGATTCTGAAAAGGAAACTGCTCTTGAGGAGTCTCATTCAAATTTAGAAATACATGCTGAAGTTGAGCTAAACAAATCAGAAAAAAATAAAAGTGAAGAGACGTCAAAGACTTATGATGAACCAATTTGTTCAGAACCCCAGGAAACAAAAAATATTGCAGCTTCACAAGAGGGTAAAGAAAATGGCCAGACAGAAAATGACCTGAATAGCAGTCTTGGATCTGATATACAAACTGAGAGTGATGATGAAAATTTTGGAGACATCCTGAGAGAAAAGATGGCTATACAGGTATCCAAATAAAGTGTAATTTTACACTTATTTATTTTTTCTTTCCCTTCATCTGATTATTATATAAATCACCAGGTATTGGTGTAATGTAAGGGGTGTAAACATATTCTTTTTTTATTGTATTGAAAAAGATGCATTTTCTTTTCAGTTTCCCATAGATGACACAGTGATACAAAGTCATATTACAGTTTTCCCTTTGAACAAGAAGAAGACAGAGGTGATAGTTTGTCTGTGTAAGAAATCTATATCTGTGTGGGCTTTACATTGTGAACAGTTTACCTGTCTGCAAAATTGGAGTTTCCCTGAGGTAATTACAAGTCAAATTAATTTTATTACTGATTTCAGAAAAATTCAGTATCATTTTCTCAAGACTAGAATTGATTGTTTACAAAAAAAATTCTAAAAAGTGATTGCTGTATAAAACAATTGTTCCTGTTTCAGGTCAGTTTAATTAAAACACTTTCTAAACTTTTCTTCTCAAAGTGATTGTTTTAATCTAAAAACATATAATTTCTTACATAAACATATAATTATTGTAGGATCAAACAGCATTAGGAGGAGACCTCATGCTTCCAAAGTCATCAGAAATCCGCTTCGCAGCCGTTTTAGAAAGCTCTAATTCGACCCAGTTGTATTCTGCTGTTTTCCAGGAGGACCAAGCCTTCCCTTTGTTTGAAATAACCGACATTCCAACTCCCTCTCATCAGTATGTTTAACTCTATCAGGCTATCTTTTATTTTCAATCCTTTTACATTCTAATTATCATTTATTTCACATTTTATACCTAAGGTGTATCAAAAATATCTTTTAATAGGTGAGTAGTGCATATATAATTTTTTTAAGTGTCATAGCAGACATGAATAAGGGTGTCTTTTCATACCCCAAGAACAATGATAATTCAACATCCGTGCAAATTAGTAATTCCACTGTAAGCAGACTGTTTTCTTTTTCAGGATTCAAATATGTGCTGTGAAATTTAATGAAGTTGTAATTTCTCAATCCGACTCTCCCAACACAATAAAATTATCAAAGTACATCATGGACTCGGAGATAAAGACTTTGTCAAGAACCATAAATCTGGAAGAAACATCTGGTGTCTTAGACACTGTGTGTGGCATCCAAGGGCAGCAACAAGCAGTAGCTGGATATACTAAAGATGGTCTTCTTCATATTTGGTTTGTACTCTCAGATTTTACCTTCAAGTAATGTTTTGTTTCTTTTATGTAAGATATTGGTTGTTTCATTCTGAAAACAGAATAAAACAATCTAAGAATGAGTAATATATTGTGTTGCAGTAATGTTACAGAGTGTAATTGATAAAAAAAAACTACAAATAGATATTTATTAAAGAATAATTGAGAAATATACAGCTTTTATTTTATTTTTAAGAAATTGAAATATTTCATGAATTTTTAATTTTCACAATTCTTTTTTTTACAGGAATCATGAATTGGGAGCTCTTGTTTTAACAGTAAACTTGGCTGTGTTCTGGCCCCATCCCTCACACCTTGTTGCTGTGCTTCAAGAAAAAGTAAGGCAAAAATTTTCCAACTTGGCATTGGTTTATTAATTATTTTTAAAAAGTGTATGTTTCAATTGATACCATAGACTCATATCTCATTATTTTAAACTTGATTAGACTTAAAAAATTAGACAAATGAGTTTTCTATACACTGGGACTTCCAGATCTGACAATGTGACATATTCATGGTAATAAAGATATTGATATTTGACTTTGAGATGTACATCCAAGGTCGGTTGATTTTGTCTTGATAATGCCTGAGAGTAAAATAATCTTTCTGGGACATAGAGCTGAATTTATTCAATCAATAGTCTGAGGTTCTACCATGGAAAATACACTCATCAATGCTTTTATCAGTACATTAGATAATTAACTACCAGAGAAGTAATTAATTCTGTATTTTTTTTATACAGGGGTATCTATTCTGCCCTCTGATGGCTAGTTCTGACTGTTTCCTGGCGGGCTGTATAATGCTGGTGAACCCCACAAACTGTCAAACCAAAGTCCTATTTCCACTGAACAGCAAAAAGTGGAGAGGGTAAGTTTCTCTTGATTTTGGATTTGTACATGCAGTTCTTGGTACATCTGCAATCATAGTCATTCATACTTTATTTCTTCCTCCCATTTCAAAAAAAAAAATTACTCCATAGAATTTTTGAAACAGGGTTTCAAAAAAAAAAAAATTACTCCATAGAATTTTTGGAACAGGTTGATAAACTTATATTATTTTTTTCACAAAAACTGAAACAAAATGTTCTAATTCAATTTGACCAGCTGAATATTATTAGCTCACCTGAGCCAAAGGCTCAAGTGAGCTTTTCTGATCCCAATTTGTCCGTTGTCTCTCGTCGTTGTTGTAAACTTTTCACATTTTCATCTTCCGTCTGTCTGTCTGTCCGCCTGTAAACTTTCCACATTTTCGACTTCTTCTCAAGAACCGCTGGGCCAATTTCAACCAAACTTGCCACAAAGTATCCTTGGGTGAAGGGGATTCAAGTTTGTTCAAATGAAGGGCTCGTCCTCGTTCAAGGGGAGATAATTGGGAATTAATGAAAATTTGGTGGTATGTTTTAAAAATCTTCTTCTCAAGAACCACTGTACCAGGAAAGATGAAACTTATGGGGAAACATCCTCAGGTAGTGTAGAGTCAAGTTTGTTCAAATCATAACCCTCGGGGGTAGGGCGGGGCTACAATGACCAAAGTTTTACATAGACATATATAGGAAAATTCTGTAAAAATCATCTTATCAAGAATAGCAAAGCCATGATTGGTCATTGGACTACTTTTGGATTTAAACTATTTAAATTCAAACCAATTTCTACTTTTTCCTAGCCACAGTGCTCAGGTGAGCGATCTGGCCCATGGGGCTCTTGTTAAATCATTTCTTTGAGTAGGTGTAGGTGAAATAATTTAGCATATGGCAATTAAGCTCTTCAGAAAAATAAAAATATTGCTATATAACATATGGATCTCATAGCATGTGACACTCTCACTTGCATTTATTCTCCATTTTCAGATGCAGTAGAGCCTTCCACATGGATGATTACATAGCAGCAGTGAATAAGTCTGGTTCTCTACATATCTGGGACAAGTTCAGTGGTGAAATGGTGGCTTGTATGGAGAACACTGACATCTTAGGAATTTGTAATCATAAAAATAACATTGTCTTAAGCAGAGAACATTGTATACATTGTTTTACATTAAAATCCTAGGTTTGAATTGGATTTTGTTACTGTTTAAGAGTTAAATTGCAAGCTCTGTTGTATTTGTGACAGAACAAGGGGTGTAGTCAAGAATGTAGCTGGTATGTAGAGAGCTATTCATGTATTCATAGGAACACCCTGAATGACATGCTAGCTTAGCCAATAGTGAAAGGGATCATACATACCATATGAGCAGAAATTTTAGCAAGGATTCAATTTTGGTTCATTTACCGGTACATGTGTAGCAAGGGTTCTGAGATGTCTAGAATTGAATATTGCCAACAATTTATTCCATTTCAGTTGTTAAAACTCTTTCTCACTTGATATTATAAAAATTGCAAAAATTTCTTCTTGCTAAAAATACATGTACATGTATATGCCAATTTTTTGGAGTGAATTGCTAAACTTGTGTGTAGCTTAAATTTCTGTGATACGATATTTGATGCTCAGTATCATTCAGGTGTCCATCTTAGTTATTATCGTAGTCATTAAAACTATACAAGATGCATAAACTGGAGTAGCTGCACATCTGTAGCTCGCTTGTCTGAAACAAAAGGCCCATGGGCCACATCGCTCACCTGAGTAACTTTGGTGATGCAGTTCTTTACCAGATTCCCCCTCTCGCTATAGTCCTAGTCCTATAGTCCCTTGCTGGATTCCCTATTGTGGCCCCGCCCTACCCCTGGGGGTCATGATTTTAACAATTTAATATCTACACTACCCAAGGATGCTTCCACATAAGTTTCAGCTTTCATGGCCCAGTGGTTATTGAGAAGAAGATTTTTTAGTGACACCACCCTATTTTTGTCTTTTCTTGATAATCTCCCCTTGTGAGGGGACTTGGCCCTTCATTTTAACAATTTAACCTCCCCTTCATTCAAGGATGCTTTGTATCAAGTTTGGTTAAAATTGGTTCATTGGTTGTTGAGAAGAAGTCGAAAATGTGAAAAGTTTACAGACGGACGTACAGACAGACGACGGACAAAATGTGATCAGAAAAGCTCACTTGAGCCTTCGGCTCAGGTAAGCTAAAAAGTGAAATGGATGATCAGAGAGCTACAGTGCCACCCATTGCAAAAAGGTGCACTGTTTCGAGATTTTTTTCACAGTATACTTCCAAATATTACTGACTGTGTGTTTCTAAAATATTCTTTAAATACTGTAAACGTGGAAATTTTGACGATGTGCTAATTTTTATTATATTGACTATTTTTCTTTTCTCATCAAAATTTACTCTCGTCAAACTTCAAATCATAAATATAGCGTCACAACAGACACTGACCACTGTACATTACCACTTACAGTAATTTTCTTGGCTTTCCCCTACTTTAAACAAGAGGCCCATGGGCCACATCGCTCACCTGAGAAGCTTTGGCCATTCTGTTCTTTACCAGATTTCCCCCATGTAATACATATTGTGACCCCATCCTACCCACTAATCATAATTTAAACAGTTTGAAATCTACACTACCCCAGTATGCTTCCACACAAGTTTCAGCTTTTCTGGCCCAGTGGTTCTTGAGAAGATTTTCACAGATTTTTCCTATGTACTCCAATGTAAAACTTTGATGGGCAATTGTGGCCCCACCCTACCCCCGGGAGTCATGATTAGAACAATTTAGAATCTACACTACCCCAGAATGCTTCCACACAAGTTTCAGCATTTCTGGCCCAGTGGTTCTTGAGAAGATTTTTAAAAGATTTTTCCTATATATTTCTAAATAAAACTTTGATTCCCCATTGTGGCCCCGCCCTACCCCCTGGGGTCATGAATAGAACAATTTAGAATCTACACTACCCCAGTATGCTTCCACATAAGTTTCAGATTTTCTGGCCCAGTGGTTCTTGAGAAGAAGATTTTCAAAGATTTTTCCTATATATTTCTATGTAAAACATTGATTCCCCATCATGGCCCCGCCCTACCCCCGGGGGTCAATTTAAAATCTACACTACCCCAGTATGCTTCCACATTAGTTTCAGCTTTACTGACCAGGTAGTTCTTGAGAAGATTTTTAAAGATTTTTCCTTTATATTTCTATGTAAAACTTTCCCCATTGTCGCCCCGCCCTACCCCGGGGGTCATGATTTGAACAATTTAGAATCTACACAACCCTAGGATGCTTCCACCTAAGTTTCAACTTTTCTGGCCCAGTGGTTCTTGAGAAGAATATTTAAAATATTTTTCCTATATATTTCTATGTAAAACTTTGATTCCCCATTGTGGCCCCGCCCTACCCCCCGGGGTCATGATTTGAACAATTTAGAATCTACACTACCCCAGGATGCTTCCACATAAGTTTTAGCTTTTCTGGCCCAGTGGTTCTTGAGAAGATTTTTTAATGACCCAACCCTATTTTTGTCTTTTCTTGATTATCTCCCCTTTTGAGAGGACATGGCCCTTCATTTTAACAATTTATATTCCCCTTCAGCCAAGGATGCTTTGTATCAAGTTTGGTCAAAATTGGCCCAGTGGTTCTTGAAAGAAGTCGAAAATGTGAAAAGTTTACAGACGGACGGACAGACGGATGGACAGCTAGACGGACGGACAGACGACGGACAAAATGTGATCAGAAAAGCTCACTTGAGCCTTCGGCTCAGGTGAGCTAAAAATTACCTCCCTTTCTCTTAAGCTTAGATATTCCGATAATCTCTGATTTACCTCTCTTGATATTTTTGTTTTAAAATCGAGTCTTTAAGAATTTTTTTTTATTTAAAAATATAATATACAGATACAAAAAACATTCAGAAAAAATAACTTAGTATATGAAAAGATGTACAATAATGTAGTAGCACTCTGAGCTTTCTCCAAATGCCTTATTACAAATTTAACAGTTAACTTTGAGTGATCTGCTGTGAATATGTCAGGAGTTATCCTTTATGAGTTATGTACTCAACACGGTCCACTGAATTCTGGAGTCAAGCTATTTACTGTGTCCATCATTTTGTAATAACAACGTACTCAAGCAATATCCATTAAACTTTGTTAGTTAAGCTGTTTTGTGTGTCCATCACTGTGTTGATAAGAGTTATACTCAGCACAGTGCACTGAATCCTACAAGTTAAGATATTAAGTGTGTCCAACTGTCCATCACTTTATTATAACAATGTACTTGGCACAGTTCATTGAATTCTGTGAGGTAAGCTGTTTAGTGTGTCCATCACTTTCTGATAACAATTGAATTCTGTGAGTTATTGCTCTTTAGTGTGTCGGACATCACTTGCAGCCCAAACCTTAATCTCTGCACTATTGTTGAAGCATATTTGTCTGCTGTCAAAGAAACAAAATTGATGGCAGTCTGTCTGTAAAGATAACAAATCATGAGGGATAAAAAAAATAGTAATAAAATCTTAATAAATGAAAAAAGGCTAACATATTTTCACAGATTAGAAGGAGTTTGCAGAGCTTGTATCTTACCTTTATTTTCAGGTTCTAGCTGATCTCTTTGGACTCTCACAGAAACATGGCGAGCTGCTTTTGGAAACAGGATCAATGCCAGCATAAACCCCTACCCATTAACAAAAAAAGAAACTAGAAATTCAAGAAATGCATTTAATTCACATAACACAAGGTCTCGAGCTTGCCATACAACTGACTTACCAAAGATTTCAGGTTAGACAGTAGTTAGTCCTTCATCTCCAGTCTTGTTAACAAGTTGAGGTCAGTCTCATCTTCTGCCTGTTAACAAAGAAAAATCTGAAGATCATTGAAAATAATGAAGGAGACCTTGTGCCAAAATGTTCACCTGAATCATCTTGACCTTTTCATCAGAAGAAAAAAAAATCTTAATTCATATTTTTACTAATCCTAATCCAAAGGGCCTAATTTGAATCAAGACATCCTCAGGATGCTTTAGATTGCAACATGGTTGCTGTTGTGCTGCAGAAATAAATCACCCCGAACCTATGATTTGAATAAGTGTATAAAGAAAATTTGAAAACCGCGAAAAAAAGAGCTTTTTACTCACTCCATTATCAGATATTGGCTGCTGGACAAAGCTTGGCAATGGACTCTTCTTCTTCTCTTGGTCAGTACTGGTCTTCTAATCCTTCCTCCCCTGTCAAATCCCTTTAAAATACTTGATGGAGAGAAGATAAGCAATAATTCAAAGCAATGTAATACTGTATAGGGGATTAATTTCACGGGTTGTAATTTTCACGGTTTTCTCTCATCGGACACGGTCGTGGTTTCTTGAATTCACGGAATTCTTATGTTATAGAAGTTACCTCCCTTGTCTATATCCGTTTAATCCATACCGTAGCTACATGTAAACGACATTCATCATTGTTATGTATTTATTTCACAAACAACAGGTTAGGTTAATATAAAATAGTTAGACTTAATTAATAAATAATTGATGATTAATTAAAACAGGTGCAGTTATCAAAAGTCCTTGACTATAAACGTCAAATGACTTTTCTGTATGCAATTACAATGAGTGCATGTACACACCAAGATCTTCAAAACAATGCGGCGAAAAACAAGTGGACGGTAATAAATGTGTTAATGTACTATAGGTCGACAAAGTAATATTCTTCCAAATCTTCAGTAAGTTCGATAGTTATTTGAATGATTTTTTAAAATCAAAATGTCGATAAAAACTATAATATGCATGATAATGCAGGTAATGCACACACTGTGCGTAGACTAGTAACATTAGTTACGCACGGGTAATCAAAACTCATGGCCCACGTGTTTTTTTATTGATGAAACATGTACCGTTGGCTATTAAAAAGCCTTTTAACAAATACAGGTTATTATCTGTTGACTAAAATTAATGTAAAGCGTGCTAATTAAAATAATTGAATGGCAAGTACTACTCGTAATTACTGAAATAACCATGTACAGTTGTACATGTATTTAAACCTATCGTAGTCTATTCTCAAATTTCCAAATAAAACATGGAGATTATTGAAAAATCATTCACTGTTTCTTGAATTCACGGATTTATTATCACCGTGAATATAGCGAATATTAACACTGCGAGTTATTTTCCCCCTATACAGTAATCAAAGAAACTCAAATGATCATAATCATTACAACATTATTAGCTGGAAAATCAAAGAGCAAATTAAGACATTAAAGTTATGATAGAAATAATGTGGATTATTGGGGCAAGGAGAGGAATGCATAGTTACTTTAGAGAAGGGAGGACAAAAATATGTCAGAAATAATTAAACAAAAATACTTGTAAGACTCCTGCTTGTTAAAGTGGGTCCTGATGAAGTTCCATAGGTAAAAAAAAAAGTACAAATATTCTCCTCATGGCTGCAGCGGAATGGGAGAGGGACTCTTCCTCACTTAGAATTCCTAGTCAGTCTTAACTTTCTTCTGCTTAAAAAGATAAAACAGAGACATAAAAGGGGAAACACTTGCACTTCAAACCAAGTGAGAAGCTTCAGTAAAAAGCAGCTTGTTGCTTACCACTTTTGAATCAAAATGCCTTCAAAACACAGACAGGAATAGACTCTTCTTATATAAATGACCTTGGTCCTCCATTGTTGTTCCTCTTCTGAATTAAAGAGGAACTGAAATCTGTCGAAAGTCCAGAGGTTAAAGCTTGGTACAGCCAACATCAACTGGCAAGCAAAGATACAAGAAGTCAAGCCTGAATCTTACTCTGCTTTCTGCTGATGTCTGCAGTTCAATAGGAGAGGGAGTCTTCCTCACTTCAGGATCCTGTTCAACCCTAACATTATTCTGCTTAAAAAGATAAAAACAGACACCAAAAGGGGATCATTGGCACTTCATACCAAATGAGAAGATTTCTAAAATAAACAAGTGGCCAATGGGCGATATGCTAGCTCACCTAGGCATATTGGCTAGTAAATGCACAAATTAGTCCAGTATTGAAAAGTATAAATTTTAGAATAACTACCTTGAGACATTTTCATATCAATAACAATGGCTTAGCTGTTCTTGAACATAAGATATTTTTTCTATATATTCCTTTGTTAAAATTTTATCCCCATTGATGCCCCTCCGTGCCCCCTGGAATCAAGATTTGGAAAAATGTGAATCTACACTACCTAACGATGCTCCCATATCAATATGACTATACATGGTTTTGGTATTATTGAGAGGACGTTTCCTATATATTCCCCTGTCCATTTTGATCCACCATTGGGGCTCCTGCCCTACACATGGGAGTCATGATTTGAACAAACTTAAATCTACACTACATGAAGATGCTAACGTATACATATCACCAGTCATGACATTTTTGTTTCTGAGATTTCTAAAGATATTTCCAATATAATCCAAAGTAAAACTTTGATTGTCCATTGTGGCCCAAACCTTTCCACGGTAGACATGATTTGAACAAAATGAAATCTTCACTACCAAAAAGGATGATTTGATATCAATAAATTATGACTAATTGTGGCTTGAGAAAAAAAATTATATATATCCCTGCGTACATACTGTAGATTCCTAGATATATGCGTGGAAGTGATAATTGCGTAATTTCGCAAGGGGCATCTAACACAAAATTAAATTACTCGCCTTTATTTTTATGGAGCTGAAATCTACAAAATCTTACTTTTTACAAAAAAGATGACAAAGACATAAAATGAACAAAGGTTCACTTCTTTTAAAAACCAGCACCTATATCAATTGATTCTTCTACTAAATAGGGGTTGTGATCAGTTTTCTTTCCTAGATAAGATGTTTACCAATGCTTTTGAGATTCATCTTCCCGTGCGCCCTTGCGAACTTAGCCTGGGACCAAATGGTACCCAGTATCCATCTGCTTCCACGTGGAGGCATCGCATAGGACTTATTGTGGAGAGGCTATGTTCTGGCAGGGGAAGACATAAAAATGCCTTCCCTTTTCACATTGCTGCTAGCCAGCGGTGATGGATGAAAGCGAGAGGTGACAAGCACACACACACTAACACCAACACACTAGACGCATCACACAACATTTAGCAGACGTTAGTAGTTTTAGTAGCTTGTTACTTGTGCAGGGTTCTCCATCGTTTGAAATTTTACTGTGTTGCAGAGTTTACGCAAAGCACTAAAATTTCACGGTATTTCAGCGATTGAATTTGCAACTGAATCACTATTCATTATAATTACTTAAGAATACATGCACACACTTAAAAAAAAAAAATTACTAATTCGTTACAAAAATAGTATGGCATCTAGTTCAATATTGTGGTGACATGTATTTCCAAAAGCATATTTCAGTTCTTCACTGTATAAATCTATATACTTTCAATGTCCCTCACAAACATTTTGTATTGAAATTTTGAACTGGTCTTTGAAGGCGCACAAATCCTAACTGGCTCTCCTCATTGGATACTGCCCCACCTTAAGTAACAGTGGGGGACACAACAGGTTGTTTAAGTAGAGGAAAGCATTTTCAAATTGATGGGAGATGAAGATTAGAAGCTCAAGAAATTAAGATATTCCTGCCTGGTCCCCAATCATTTGTGATGCTATCATCAGGAAGTGTTAATACTTAACACATGGTCAATTTGTAATAAAGGCTTGGGAAAGCTTGGACCATGTAGAGTGTCAAAGTATTGTATTTCCTCACGTGAGCCTCACGTGAGGAATTGAGACTTGTAAATCTTTGGTTTTGGAAATCTACTTGTAATACTGAATTTTGACTATGTCCAATTTCCTCACCTCTTGCTCACGTGAGAAAACGGAACTTAGAAAAATCACTACCAATGCTATATCTTAAATTAGGCTGTTCTTAGGTGAGCAAATTGAATAGACTTTTGCTCATGAGCATTGAGGTGAGCATAATTTTGCACATGTGCATTTTGGTTAATTTTCCTCCCTAACAAAGACTTCTGCACATGAGCAAAATTTCTACCTAATTTGCATACAATTCTTACTTGATTCTCATGTGAGTCTCATGAGCTGCTCATGAGCATTTGTTAGAATGTTTGGTACGGGATATTGTGAAATGCAGAGGAAATTCTTGTCGATAAAGTTAAACTACTTACAATTTTTTAAAGCAAATTTGTTTTTTTGTCAATTTTCTTGATCAAATTAAGGAATTACAAAAAAAAGAAACTTCGGAATAGTAAAATACTTTTAAAAGTTCCTTGAAAATTTAAAACTATTTATTTACATCAAGTAAATGATTTCGGTACAGTGTTATGTTTGATTTACAATGCCAACATACTGTAAATCACTTTTTATTTGTGTAAACTTTATTTTCGTGTAATTACGCAAGATAGTGTGCTAGCCAAAATTTAATTCTTGCGTATAATAGTATTCCTTAAAATTATATAGAGCAATGACCACAATTCGTGAAATTTTGTCTCGCTTATCAATGACAGCTATCTCGCAAAATAAGGTGTCGCGAAAATTTAGTGATCTACAGTAATTCTATAGAAAAGACATTTAAATATATTTCTAAAAATAATACAAAGTACTTTAATTGCAACTACTAGTACCAATTAACCGTTACACGGAAGTATGAAAACCAATTATTTGCCTTTGTTCTTTCATGCGTAAAGTCTGGCGAGGGTGTAGGAAATAATTGATTACGCAAGGTGAAACCGTAATTAAGTGCTCTAGATATCTTTTAGAATTGAAAGACGGTAGAATTGTTTGATTAATAATGTTTCAGATACAGAGAATTTGTATGTTTCGATTTTCTTATTATCAAAGATCTTACTGTGTTGGCAAAATTTTACCTGTTCACACAGATAAAATTTGAATCATTACTGTGTCGGAGAACATTTTTCTGTGTCGGGACCAACACAGTAAAACAGCTCATGGAGAACCCTGCTTGTTAGGGTGTTAATCATGCAAACCTATCCATCACAAGCACAAATCATGCACTAACTAACAAATACATTAATTACAATAATAACCTACACTCCTAAAGAACTCTAAGCTGTCTAACTTAAACAACTAAAGCCTACTTACTACCTCAAACTACAACACCAAACTAAACCTAACACTAAGAAACACCTTGGTAACACTACTTACAACTACTATACACTTCTTACCTTCCAACTGCAGCAGGAAACACTCCAGACTGACAATCAAAGGTGGCCATCGTGAACAACCAATGGGACCCATAAACACGAAGGACCACATAGACCCCTAATGATAAATATCAGAAATATTAGTACTCAGTAGGTGTGTCAAAATAATAATAAAACAAACTTACCTCT